CAGTCCCCACTTTCAGTGATGTTCCAAAAATATAAGACGATTGCCATGCACTTTATCTTAATAAGGAACAGACTGCTTTAGAAAATCATAGCCTTTATATTAGATTTTTCATTACTTTTTCCTTTACTTGAAAATTGCCTCCATGCTACTGAAAGATTGCATCCTGGGGAATAAAAAAAAAAAAATGTCTCAAATATCGAAGGACTTGTGGCCAGAGTCTCTTGAGATAGTAATGTCTCCCTCTCTCGCTCCCTTTTTTTAATCAACTCGGTAGAAATTAACTTGGGTAGTATTTTTAAAGTAAACCAACCCGATCTTGAATAGCTCACGTGCAAAATGAAAAAGAGTAAAGTTAGAAACCACGCAACATCCCAAATCGTTCCTGCTGAGAAAATGGCCACGGTCAGAACGGTTTGTGGCTAAGAAACAAGTTGGGTTGGGTTTGATGCAGACCGGCTCCTCCTCTCAGCCGACCTGGTCTGCGGCTGCGAGGTTTACGTCTGCGTGACAAACAGTAAATACATCCGCGGAGGTGTGTATTGAAAAGCTCAATAAACCATTCGGATGGTTTCTAATTTTTACCTGCCAAGACATGTTGTGCATTTCTCACATTTCCACCTGATAGAGTTCTCGAAGTGAGTGTCTCCTCTCTGGTAACCTGGGAATGTGGTTTTCTGCAATCACCTGCATGCGTAAGAATCGTAAACTTTGTTTGCCAGGTCGGAAGTAGCTTCCTAGAGACTAAGGTCTATGTTTCTATTAAATGACTCTGCTCATTGCCCACTAGAACCCACAGTGTACGGACAGAAAGAATGAGGCCGAAGGCATCTGTCTGGCCTGCTGGCCTTCCAGGAGCTTCCCGGCTGGGGCAGTCCGTGTGGCCGTGAGCCTCCTGCTCAGAACCACCTGCTGCTTGTTGATCATGCAGATCCGTGGGCCTCACCCCAGACCTCCGGAGTAGGAATCTCTTGGGGCAGAGCCTTGGAATCTGCATTTTAACAAACTCCCTGGACGATCCCTGTGAATTTTGAGGGCCACCAATCTCGCGGCTACTGGAGGAGTAAGATCCAGGCCAGCAAGGGTAAGGTAACTCAACTCAGAGAAAGGGGCTCAGGTCCAGCGAGGGTGGGATAAAGCAACGGAGTAATGATGGGGGATTGGGCCGGTCAGACAAAAACACCTAAGCAAATGCTAGACCGAGAGATGTTCAAATAATAGTAATGAAGAAAAAACATTTTGCCCACAGGACAGTAAGCTGAACTGCGCATCCAGCCCACACCCATGACAGCGACTAGAGAGGTCTAAACAGTACTGACAGAACTGCCAGCCGATCCTGGTGCATTGTGGGATCTGCCCCTTCTCCAGCTACACCCGGCCGCTGTGCACATACACTGAAAATAGCGAGCCTCTACCCCGCTGGTATATTGGTGAATGTTTAACAACAGGCTCTCCAGAAAGAATAAAACCCTGACTTAGAGCACTGGCCAATTTCCATGGTATAAATCCTCTCAGCATGGCTAATTTCAAGCCATTTAATGTGATGTCACTGAATGTAGACTTAGGAATATAGGTACATGGTGGTTCTCATAAGCCAATATGAGCCAGCACATACACACTTCTCACACAAAGAGACTCATCGCTCTCGTACCATTTTGTCCCTCTCGCATTCTTGTATCTAAGAGAAGTGTCCTTCCCTTTTTAAAACTGCACATGTAACAAGTCTTTGCTAATAATGCATTTAGAAGGTATCCATTTTTATACAAAAGATGGTTTTTCCCTAACTAAATAAAAAGTTTGAATCCAGAAAATGTTGACCCCCAGTTAACCTCTTTTTAATCAAATAAAGAAATGACCTTGTGCCTGTGTGGTAGCAGAATAGGGCCCCCACCAAAGACGTCCACATCCTAATCCCTGAAACCTGCGGCTACGTTCAGTTACCTGGCAAAGGGGAATTAAGGTGGAAGATGGAATTGACTTTGCTAATTATCTGGTTTTCATAGAGATTGTCCTGGGTTCTCTGGATGGACACAGGGTTAGCACCAAAGTCCTTAAACGTGGAAGCGGGAGGCAGAAGGGTCAGTGTCAGGGTCAGCGTGAGTGACGCGGTGTGAGAAAGACTGCAGGCCATCGCCGGGCTGGAAGATGGAGGGTGCGGCCAGGAGCCAGGGGCACGGGTGGGCCCACTTTAGAGGCTGGAAAAGGCAAGACGACAGGTTCTCCCCTGGAGCCTTCGGGGAGGGGTGCACACTGCCGGCACCTTGGTTTCAGCCCAGGAAGACCCATTATGGACTTCTGACCTCCAGAATTTATTATGTAGGAAAATAAATCTGTGCTGTGTTAAACCTCTCAGTTTGTGATCATTTTTGACAGCAGCAGTCAGAAACTAACACATCCTGTTTTTCAGGAAAGAGGCAAAATAAAGCAAGAAAAAGACGTAACCAGAAAGCCGTAAGTGGACCTAGCAATGCTGGGCACCTCTGCCCGTGGTGCAGACAGGGGAAGCCTGTCCACTGCACTCTTGCTACACTCATACGTACACCCACACACTCACACACGCACAGCAGGATGGGAGCCCTGCTGGGCTTAAGGAAGCAGTTAGACTCTCGGAGGAATTTGTAAGACACTAAAGAGCTTTAAGCCTCAGCCGTTCCTTTCCGCTGTTCTCACAGAGTAAGTGTTCCACCTTGATATCACGTCACCATCGCGTGGACACCTTAAAACAAGATCCTCAGCCTCCGGAGGAGTCAGGCAGCCTCTCTTACAGATGCTTATTCATTCAAGGGTGGAGAGCCTTGAGGTCTAGAGTATACCCTCCTTCGAAATCTCTAATTTGCCACCTTTAAATTTTCTCCATGGGGCTAAGAGATCCATTAGTCGAACTTTCACATATCGCAGGCGACATGTAAGGCAGGCAAAACCAGCGGCCCAAAGCCACCCCTTGAGCTCATTGGCATCAGAACCAGGACTCATAGCCCGAACCCTGCTCTCGGCCCTTGGTTTCTCCACTACGACTTACGACACAGACTCTGAGAGAGAAAAGAAGGTAAGCTTCCTTCTCTACTCCGGAGTCAAGGAACAGACATTGATTGTTTTGAAAAATAAGTTTCAATTATATACTTATTTATGTAAGATAGGGGCTGTATAAGATAGAGAAAAGGCTCCCAGCCTCTTATCCTTTTACTTTGGCCTCCTTCCCTGCCCCCTTTCTCAATCTTTCCCAAGGAGAAGAAACACTAAGATAGCTTTCTAATGCAAATATTGACCAGGACATATTTGTTCTAGAGAAAGTGCACTGGCTTTTAAAATGTCAGACACATTGCCTTCTATCATGTTTTCATTTCCACGCGACAGGAGAGAAAACAGGCACAGAACCCACCTCGTGGGGACAGGCTCCGGCACTCTCTCCTTTTCCGGAGCATTCCATCCAAGGTGCCACGTGCTGGCCGGAGGGTGGTCTGTCCCAGATGTGGGTTCGGGATGCTGGGAGGAGAAAGGTGAGTGACAGCCCTGACCTGCCAGGAGCTCCCGCTCAGCCTCGTCAGAGTTCTGCCTCTGAGTGAGGGAGTGAGGGAAGAGGTCTCACTGGGCACTTGTTAAGCCAACGATAAAGTAACGTGACTTTTGTTTGCTATGGCTCCTTGTACACATTGTCCCCTTCACTTCTCAAGAGGAAAGGCATTGCAGAAAGCCATCTTTAGGAAGGCCAGGGAGGGAAACAGAGACAAGAAGGAATGACTGCTATATACAACATAAACAAATCATCCAAAAAAACCTTGTGTTGACGAAAAGAAGCCAGACCCCAAAGAGCATATGCAGTTATGTTTCCATGTATGGGGAGACGAAGAACAGGCAGAACTAATCTACGGTAAATGATGTCAGATTAGTGGTTATGGGGAATGAATTGAGGGGGTGGAATTATACTAAGGAAAGACTAAAGGGAGCCTTCTAAGGTGCTGGAAACATAATCTGTCTTGATCTGAGTGATAGTCACGCAGGTGTATATATATGAAGCCAGTTATTGCCAGTTATTGACCTCTGGCTGAGCTGCGAACTCTAAAACAAAATACTATTTCTCACATGAAATGTTAATTTTCAGATAGTTATGTAAATGAAAGTACATTTCTATTTTTAAAGCTTTAAAATCTTTAAATTAGAAATGTAGAAACTACATTTACTCTTGACTAGGTAGAAGAGTGTTTCATTTAAGGCATGTTTAATTACATTTCTCAACTTGAATTTTCTTTCTAATAAGAAAGGTCAATGGGAAGGCCCTATATCACCTACTATTTCCAGAGGAGTCTTTTTTTGTTTGGTTGCTTGTTAGAGGAAAGGCGAGGCAAGAATTAGACATTTTATAAGAGTTACCACATCTGGGTTCTTCTACATTTTTATCTGTAGAAAGCCAAAGTGTTTGCCAATGTTTGAGATATTTTAGTGTCCTCTTTGCTGCATAAATTTTATGTCCTACATCTCTTTTGTAAGAAAGGAAATGAAGAGGCACATAAATGTTGTTTCGGAGTGGTGACTGTGGTATACAAAAATTTTTTAATCATCTTGTTGAAGAGTTTAGAGGAGATGTTATAAAATATGCATTTACCGGTATTGGAACAGATGAAAACACAGTATTTTAATTTTTAAAGACCAAAAGAGCTATTTTAAAAAGCATGTGTTTTTCATAGCATACTTTATCCCAATGATTCTAAGGTTTCTATTAAACAGAAAAACAAATTACAAGTCTGGCAACCACAAAGATGGAAGGGGCAGAAGTCTCCATAAGTGAAAGGGATCATAACCAATAGTAAAGTGATGACAAAATACCACGGTGTATTGACAGCATTGTTAAAGCTCCAAATTATATTTAATGATAGCTAACTGATGTCTGGGGGGACAAGAGCCCGTGGATGTCTGCCTGTTGACAAAAAAGGAAAAAGAGAAATGAGAGCTCATGTCTCCTCCAGAGAACAGCTCAGTTGAACGGATCCAACTGAGACACAGCAGCTTCCAGGACAAAATACCTTCTCTTCTAATCTAGTAGGTACACAGATCAAGCCTGGCTCTCCCTTGCATGCACAACCCAGGCTACTTTATCAGCCCGTGGGGAATAAATTTAGCACCCCAACAGTAGCTCTGGATCCAAATTCCAGAGACACCAGTTCAGGTCAGGACTCTTGTCTCGGAGCAGGTGGAACTTTGCTTGTCAAAGGCAATTTAAACGTGGTATTGAGTGTCAGCTGAAGCTCAGTGAGATCCCTGTTCCTCGCAGAAATGCAATATTTCCCAGGAAATTGTGAGCTAAGTAGACTAGGTCTGGTGGAAGGGGGTGGGTGTGTTGGGGTGTCTAAACTTTTAACAGAGAAACTTAATATTTGCATAAGCAAACATGATTATTAGACTAACATACCGACACATTCACATGCCAAGCATCAAAGCCAGACATTATAAGGTCTGCTTTTCTAGGTAAAACATTTCAAATGCTAGACTTGTCACCTGGCAAAATATATTCTGGAGCTAATGCAGGGAACTTGAGAGGAATGTGTTCCTTGGCTGAATAAAAATCCCTGCCATTTAGGGGAAAACAACGAGGCATCAAGAAAAAGCAAACCCGCATCACTACCCATCCTTTTCAGCATCATCCAGCAGGTCCCACTGTGAGTGTGCCCCATATGTAAAAATTAAATCCAAGAGGAAGAGAACGGAATTTAATATTTAAGACAATATTCTCTTAACTCTTTTTAAGAGTTCGACATTCTTTTGTGAAAGAAATATTCATCTGATCAAATTTTAATTGCACATTTTTCTCCAGTTTTTAGACAAAGCACAAACATTTGAGAAGTTTTGATAATGATGTCTAATTCTCAGAGCTGTCAAAACGTTGTTACTTATTAAGATAAACGAGTCATGCTATCATTGTTACAGGCAAAAAAAAGATGCTTCTAATTAGAAATAAATGGGTAGTAATCGTAATCTACATCAAAACATTCTTTCACCTAAGTTTCACAAATTCCTGGTAGGACTATCCAGACACAGAAACCTGAATTTAATTTGGCCACCTACCATGCGCAAAAACATTGTGTTGGTGCCGTGTGGAAACCAAGATTTTGGCCAGTCCCCACCCTGCAGAAATTTACAGTATGAGAACCGCGTGCAGGCGGTGTGTTCGGCAGGAAGAATGCCCTTCTAGCCAAACCAAAGGATTGGTAGGCTATCAACATATGAAGATTGACAGAATTTTCCAAATGAATATCATGAACCAAGTTTCCTCTAAATGGTGGAAAATAGTCTCTCCTCGGCCCAGAAAATGCAGAGTAACTTAATAGGCTTGCTCGCTTCTACAGCCCCTGGCATGTAATTTCCCTAAAAGGGATTGCTCAAGCTCTTGTGGGGCGGGCGGTGCTGTTCATACCCTGGAGCTCCCTCAAGTTCCGCGTGGACACGCCTCTCACGCAGACCCGTCTCTGCGGGCTGTTCGGTGGGCAGTCAGCTCTGGGGCACCAACCAGATCCCTCTTTGACTTGGGAAACTGGAGACTCTGGCAGGGTCTGCTGCTTCTTTCCATGGCATTTTCCCAGCCTGCCTCTTGCCAGCTTCAAGGGAGGATCGAGTGAATGTTTTGCAGCATACGCCGAAGGTGATACCTTTTCAGCAAGCCCATCACAGGAGTCCGAAATTGGAAGGCACGGCCACTGTGGGCTGCGCGGGCCCACGGGCCAGCAGCAGGGGCAAATGGCAGCTGTTCTGAGTCTCCTGATCGAGGAGGAGGGTCGAAGGTCACACTTCAGCTTCTTTGGCAGGGTCTGGAGGCCAGGAATTCCCCGGCCTCACAGGGAGGTGGGAATGGACGTGTCCATGCTTGGTGTGGGGCCTCTCGGTGACCATGAAGGAAAAAGAAAAACCTCTGTTGTAAAGAAGCAGCGAGTGCCTGTTCCCTGAAGGAATAAATGTGCGCCGCGGTCCCCACAGAGGGACTTGATGAACACACACACTGCGTCAAATGAGAGTTCTGACATTAATGCTGGTGATTAGTATATCAATCAGTGCATCTGACCAACAGAGGGGGGCAAGGCCTTCTTCATCAGGGGCCTGTAACGCCGCGGGGAGGGAGTTCTTCCATGCGGTGCAGTGACTGCTGAAGACGCGGGGGGCTGGGAAGCCGAGCAGGAAAGCAAGGAACCATATAAACATCCGCGATCCTGCAGACATGGGAGAGGACTAGAAAGATGGTTGCAGAGCAACCACATCCCCATGACACAGAGCGAGGTGAGACCACAGCAGAAAACTGTGGAGGCCCGAGGAGCGGATCAGACACTGGCCTCCGAGAAGAACCTCATGACCAGAGAGAAAGTGTGAGCCGTGGCGGGAAAGCCGGGATGTGGCCACTTTTCCCTTGAATACCGGGGGAGAGGAAGGGTCAGCACCGTGGACTATATTTCGTTGTTTTTACCCAAACAATTTGCATCAGTGCAAGCTGCAGCCGTTTGGGATATTTAGGATAGACTGGTTTTTAAAACTGTATCATTTCTAAATCTGATTTAGGCAAAGTTAATGAGTTGGAGCCCTAAAAAAGAGGGAAAGAGAGTTTTGACTCACTTGAAATAATGCTGGAAAAATGCATTGCAAATGACAAGGGTTCAGAACCCTTTTTTAAAACGTAGCAGTTTCCAAGGTTTACAATTTTGTGGGTCTCTAATGACGAAGACCCTACAAAGCAAACCCAGCTCTGCCAGCGTTCTCTTTTAGAATGTTCTTGGAATTCGGTTGAGGTTAGGATATTTCCATAACGTAAGTCTACACCTTAGCTGTTTTCCAACATCTGAACATCACTGTTAATGGGACTGCTTCTCTTTTTATTTTACTGTGGCCTTTCTCAGCTTCCCACAACTGGGATAGTGTTTCATCTCCACAGGAATGGAAATAATAACCAATAGCTCACTTTCCTCTTCTGTGGTTTCTGTTTGTGTTTTTCTCCTGCTTCCTTGAGCTTCCTCAGCACCCCTCCTCCCCAACCACTTTTCAAGCACTGCTCCACCCAGCATCTTTACCGAAAGTCAAGTTTTACGAAGAGTAAGACAAAGGGACCCTAATGAGGGCTAATGCCCAGAGGCTGTCATCTGCAGAGCACTGAACTTGAAGCCAGAAGGCCAAGGTTTAATGCTAACCCCCAAGCTCCACACCAAGTCTTCAGTGATTCCCTAATGCCTATAAAAGGTAGAAACTCCTTAGCCTGGAATTCAAAGTTTTCCTCAATCTGACATTGACCTGCCTCAGTGTGCTACCGCAGTACCCACATGAATTCTCTTCTGCAGCCAGCTGGGACGCTGCCCCCGGAGCAAGGCAGCTCATCCCTGGGGTCCGTGCTGCGTCCAGGGCTCCACTCACTGACGACGCGGGCTGCGTCCTTCCGCACAGAGGTCCCGTTGGTCTGGAGCCCGTTCGTGGGCCTTACTCCGGGTCCCCACACTCAGATGCTGAAATAAGGTTACAGCTCCAGTTCCAAGCAGAGTGTATTAGGGGATATTCACTTTCAGTAAAGGTCACCTTAAAAGATCTTTAGGTCAAAAGAATGAAGGGAACTGAAAATAGCATCTGGTGTTTGTTAATTGAATATAAAATTGAATATAAAAATAGCCCTCGCCTGCTGACTCAGTTTGTTTGCAGCATAGTCCCGTTCACCAAAAGTCTGAGGGCTCAGTTCCCGGTCAGGACACATCTCTAGGTTGCGGGTTCGACCCCAGGGATGAGTGTGTACGGAAGCAACCGACTGATGTCTCTCTCTCTCTCTCTCCCTCTCTCTCTCTCTCTCTCTCTCTCTCTCCCCTCTTCCTCTCTTTCTAAAATCAATAAACATATCCTTGGGTGAGGATTAAAAATTAACTAATTAATTAAAAGAGGGCAGTAGTCAAATCTATGTGCAGAAAGGAGGTGTCAGCAAAAGAAGGACTGGCCTGCATGAAATCTAGACAAAGGGAGCCCAGCATGTCCATGTGTCCGTGTCACTCTCCAGGGAACAGCGCCTCCTCCCTGGTGAGCACAGCACTCCCAGCCGCCTGGCTGACTGTCTCTGAGCAGAGACGAGTGTGCTGGAATATCACAACCCAGCCGCCTCCCTGATGAAACCACCCTGTCCTTTACTTTTGCTCAGATGTCATGCCACCAACGAAGCTTTGGTCATGTTTGAACTCCCACATAGGTGTCTTTAAGGAAGAGAAATGCAAACTGGAGAGCATAAATATCCCAAACCTATGTCATCAGCAAAGGGTCATTGGGTTTATACTCTTTACCTTCGCCCTCTGTGAGTCTGTTTGGCCGAGAGTCTGGCCAGCTTGAGGCGCACCGACCAAATAGAGTTTGTGAACTTCACAGGCTAAAAGCCAGAGCACAGATGTGGGAACTCTGGGAGGCGATGCTTTCTGAACACCCTGGGTTGGGGGCCAGCCTGAGCCCTGCAACATCATCCCACTGTCCCTGTAACTGCCACACGACCTCCTCTTGCACCAGTCGTGGTCTGGTTAAGAGGGAGAACCCACATCAGTCATTTTAACAGAGAGAACTTAATATGAAGAATTGGGCACTAGGTATTAACCAAAAAAAAAAAAGGATCACCAAGTTTTCATAGATGTAACAAATGCAGAAAGTAGCTCCCACCCTTAAGGGTTGGGGGAACAAAGGAAGGATGTTAGAATTATTAAAATTTTGAAGGTTGGAGTAACATCATGGGCTAAATTGGATCCCTTCCCTTAAAAAAATCCCTATGTTGAAGTCCTAATTTCCAATACTTTGGAAGGTGACTTTATTTGAGGATGGGGTCTTTAAAGAAGTGATTAAGTTAAAATGAGGTCATTAGGGTGGGCACTAATCCAGTATGGCTGGTGTCCTTATAAAGGAGGAGATTTGGACACAGGTGTGTACAGAGGGAGGACCAGATGAAGAAGACACAGGAGAAGACGGCCATCTACAAGCTAAGGAGAGAGGCCTCAGAAAAAAAACAACCACAGCAATACCTTGTTTGGGGGCTTCCAGCCTGCAGAACCATGAGAAAATAAGTTCCTGCTGTTTCAGCCACCCGGTCTGTATGTAGTGCTTTGTCATGGAGGCCCTAGCAAACTAAACACGTAGGGAGGAGGGGATTCCTGCAAACTGGAACTCAGAAAACTAAGAACAGGGCATGTGCTGCTGGTGTGATGCCCACGATCCAACAGGCAAAGCAGGAAAGTGGTTTGCTGAGTCCCAGTTCCATCACTGTAAGGCAGGGGAAGAAGGATGGTTTGGAAGCTAAGATAATATAAGCTAAGATAATAGCTTAATAACAGACATCATGTTGCATTTATAGACATTCATCACCATCCACTTGAAAGTGAGCTCCAACAGGGTAAAGATTTTGTTTTGTTCACTGCCCTGCCACCAGTGTCTAGAATACCCTCTGACGAATAGCAAGAACTCAATAAATACATGTCAAATAATTAAGTGAATTTCTATCATCACCCAAAACAAAGGGTGAAAATCAAAGACTTATGGTGACATGTACTCTCCAAAGTATCTCATAATCAATGTATTAGTTAGGATTAGGTTGGCTTTAACTACCAGAAAAACCAAAACGATAGTGGCACGGGATAAGGCCCTTATTATTATTCCCTAGCATGCGGTGCATTGAATCTTGAAAACATGTGTTAAACTGGGCTGGCTTTTGCTGGCTTTTTTTTTCCCAAGGACAAAGTGCATTTTTCATGGTACTTATTCCAGGCCCCCTCTGGACATCAGCCACGGTTTTGCTCAATCTCCATGAAGACACTGGAAAGTTCCTGGTCTGGAAGCATGTGGGCAGCTATTCACTGAGGAGCGACCTCCCTTTCTGAAGGGTCAAAAGAAGGAGAAGGCTCACCTCTTCATCTCTGAAAAAAGAACTTGCTGGTGCATTCTGGGTGTAGAGAGGATGCTTTGCTGCAGTGATTACAAAAACAAATCTTTCCTTCTACCTTAATAAAAAATACATGCATCTACAATTTCTTCTATCTGATTATTCATAATTTCTAATTTCCTTATAATGAACATGTATTTCTTATGTAATAAAGACTTTTTTTTAAAAGCACAGTACAGTAGTTGTTTCCAATTCTCATGGTTACAGAATGAGTCAATCTTTTTAATGTCAGTTTTTTTTGTCAGAGAGTGACCTAGTAGAAGGAGCATGAGTCTGGGAGCTGGAAACTTCCAAGTCCTTGTCTAAGCACCAAGAGTGCCTTGCTGTGTAGCCTTTGCAATTCTTTTGACCCTTCTGAATCTTGCATTCCTGTGCAATAAATAAGGATACTCAGGGACATTGAAAAGTACAATTGGTTAGTGTTCACTGTATCCATAAAGGCATAACACCTTTTTCATTTAGAATAGGTCAAGAATTGAGTCAGAGCATACCACCTAAATAAAAGCTGCCTTTATTAGTCTCTGTGCTGGGAAAAATGCTATGTCCTTTGAGTATATTGCAAAGATTAGAGTTTCAGTAAGCCTAAGCCTCACAATCCAAAACCTGCTTTGGTTGCCATGGAGAAAGAAGATTGGAAACATTCCTTTACTCATTTGCCAAGTATTTACTAAGTGCAGACTATGAGTACCACTTGTAGTAAAGGTACCAGCCTCTCCCATACTCCTTCACAAATAGGGGACGTGTGCCCACAGCCCTGGCATCCCTGTTCCTCACAGCGCAAGCTCTCTCCAACCCCCAGCGGAAGGCACTGAAGTCAGGAGCTGGCCCAGGAGGAACTGAGCTTGTCAGAGTCGGTCTCCTGTGAACTGAGATTGAGTCAGGGATCTCTTAGAACTTGGGGTGGCCACCATGTTGGGCCACGTGCACGCAGAAGAGCCTGGGGTGCAACCGGAGCAGAGGAGCATGTACGGTGACAGCAGCAGAGCAGAGGCCTTGAAGCCGAGGAGAAAGCACGTGGGAGAAGAGGGGAGAAAACTGTTGGTTTCCACAGGCCAGGAAGTGCTCTTGCTGGGTTCAGGAGAGTCCTGCACATCTTCCAGTAAACTCCTTTCCCAGTATGAGTCGAGCAGGTTCTATTTCACTGCCCCAACAATCCCTGATTAAATCTATAGAGCCTCACCTTTTATGGAAGTGAATCCTAGGCTAAACTCGCATACACCAGGAAGAAATCCACCAAAAATCCAGGAAGTGGTATAAAGTTGCCAACTTCTTATTCTGCCAAATAAAAAATAAGGAATGTTATACTGTGCTATCATCAACATCATGCTATAAATTATAATGCACATGTAATACATAACACTTTCAAGTTGAGTGGTTTCCTTTAAAACTCATTGCATTATTCTTTTTCCATTTTTTATTACAGTTTACATACAGTAAATTTCACCCTTTCAAGTGGACAGCTCTTCAAGTTTTGAAAAATGTGTAGTGCCCTATAATCCCACCACCATGGGACAGTTAAAGAGAACAGTGCCATTGCCTTAAAAAGACTCCTTTGTGCTTTTCACAATCCACCCCTATCACCACCCTCAGCCCCTGGAAACCACGGATCTGTGTTCCATCTTTGTGTAGTTTTGCCTCTGCAAAAACTAGCATACAAGTGAAATGAGGCAGGCTATAGACCTTGAGTCTGACGGCTTTCACTCACTGTACTGTGTCTGAGATTTAACCATGCTGTTGTGTGCACCAGGAATTCATTTCTTTCATCACTGAGTAGTATTCCGTTACACAAATGTACCACATTTTGTTTTATCTGTTACCCGGTTGGGAGACATTTGGATTGTTTCTGGCCTGGGGTGATTATGAATAAAGCCACTGTGAACATTCACTTACAGGTTTTTGTGCGAATATAGGTTTTCATTCCACGTGGGCAAACGCCTAGGAAAGGAATTGCTGCCAGAGTGTTTTCCAAAGTGGCTGGGCCGTTTCGCACCACACCAGCAACTGCTCCTGTACTTGATAATGTCCATGTTTGTTTATTTTAGCCGTTCTAATAATTATTTAATGGCATTTGTGGTTCTTATTTGCACTTCCTCAATGATTAACGATGTCGAACATCTTGTTATGTGTTTATTGGCCATCTATATAACTTCTTTGATGAAATGTCAGTTTAATTCTTTTGCCCATTTTTAATTGGCTTATTTGGTTTCCTTAGTATTGATTTTTAAGAATTCTTTATATATTCTGGAAAGAAGTCCTTCATCAGATAAATGCTTTGCAAATATCATCTCCCATTCTGTGGGGGGTTTTTGTTCATTCTTTAACCACTGCATTATTCTTATTTTTGTATTTTGACTTGGACAGTTGAAAATATTGTCAAGAACATCATTGGCATGGCAGTGTTTGTGAATCCCGACTATGTGGAACACAGAAAATAATGGACAAGGGTATGAATAATTTTGTTAGTGAGCTAACACATACATAACTTAACCTTATTTTAAGATGGGTAGGGAGCTGTACTCCATGGGGTCATCCAGAGACCCAAGTTCTGGCTTTATCTTGTGGCTCCATCATCAACTGGTCTGTTGTCTTCGTCTGCTTGATGGACGTTAATTCACTGTCATTTTATTTGCATTCCTGCCCTAAGGAAAAGAGGAAGTAAAGCGCAACTACTTGCTTTTCAGGACATAACCCGGAAGTTACCAAACCTTAGTCACTTATCCCCAGCCAGCTGTCAGGCAGGCTTGAAAGTATGCTCGTGAGCTGGGCAGCAAAGCGCTCTCTGCAACTCTGTGGCCATGGAACAGTATGCATGGGAGGACAAGTACAGTCCACTAGAGATGAGAAATGGAGGTGTTGGACCTAAAATCAGAGTGTCTTACTTATACTCACAGGAACCAGAAAGCAGAAGTTCCTTTCTACAAGCTACAAAATGCTTTGCCCAAAGCCACTTTTGAGGTCAATAGAAAGTGGAATGTGATTTTCTTTTTGTCTTGGAATTAGTGAAAGGAGTTGGCAAAAGCCGAGGACAAAAAGGGAGCCAAGCATCAATTATGTCAAGGACATCCAATGAAACCAACAGCACACACCTCCAGCCCTGCCTCCAACCTCCCAAAGACTAAGTTAGTGAAGAGGTAAGAGGAAGCTGTTAAGTAATTTCCCTATAGGAATGCAATTTCCTGCGGTAAGAGTTAATTTTGTCCTCATCCTAGAGGATGGGAAAAGAATGTATCCTTTCTCAATGGTAAGTGAGCAAGGCTCAAGATAATCTCTCCTAAAAATTAGAACAGTGTCTCTCACCCAGGGGCAATTCTGCCCTGTAGGTAGGATGACCAGCAATCCTGATTTGGGTTGGGACTGATGAATTTCTGGATGTTTTAGTTTTCTGTTGCTACTATAACAAATAAACATAAACTTGGTGGCTTAAATGATGAAAATTTTATACCTTACAGATCTGAAGGTCAACAATCTTTCTAGACTAAAATCAAGGTGTTGATAGAATTGTGTTCCTTCTGGAGGCTCCCAGGGAGAAGCTATTCCTCGTTTTGTCCAACTTCTAGTGTTTGACTGCATCCCATGGTCTATGGTGCCCTTCCATTTTCAAAGCCACCAGCTGCATCTCTTTGATCTCTCTTCTTGTAGTCACATGTCCCTCTCTGACTCTGGCATTCTTGCTTCTTTCTTATAAGGCCCTTTGTGATTGATTACCATGGGCCACCAAATTATCCAGGATAATCTTCCCATCTCAAGATACTTAACTAATCACATTTACAAAGTCTCTTTGTCAAGTGAGATAACATGGTCACAGGTTTGAGGGATTTGCATATAGACTCCTTTGGGGAGACATTATTCTGTGTACCATACCAGAGCATGGGACTTTCAGGCCTAGCACCAGGAAAGTTGGTCACCCTATTGCCAAGAGGAACTTGGCAATATCTGGGGAATTTTTTTATTTTTCACAACTGTCATCTAGAGATAGAGGTCAGCGATTCTGCTAAACATCCTACAATGCACAGGACAGTCCCTCATAACAAAGAATTATTGAGCCCAAAATGTCTGTAGTGCAAGACTGAGAAACTGAATTAGATGTACCTACAAAAGTCATGAATTGCATCCCTACTTGGTGAAACTGATGATTTTTCTCTCTACCTACTTGAGCAACAGAAAAGTAAATGGAAGGAAATGGTGGGTTTCAGAGAAGAGGTGATGTGAGCAACAAGAGTTTCTATTCTTGAGTTTCAATGGATTGAAAAATTCAATGTATACTTGAGTTTCTTGTGGGTTGCATGGCTCTTGTGGAAGAGTGTTGGGAGTTTGCCCTGTGGTGCCACACTCTGAAGTTCTACCAAGTGAATGAACTTTACCACCAAGGGCAGACAGCCAGAGGCAGGCATGAAAGGAGGCTGGAAGAGGTTGGGCTAGAGCCAGACCTTCCAAAATGGGAACTGTACAGTGGGGCGGCTTCATGTTGCTTCGTAAGAACTAACTAACTATTCCATAAAAGAATCAACCTTAGCTGCCTGGCACAAAGACAACATGCACAGCCCATTGATTTCAGCCAAAGAAGCAGCAACAAGCAACATGAGGAGATGGTCATTGTGCCTCCACCTTTCCCCTTTGTCCCTAATCCCTCAAAGCAACAAGAAGAAAGGAAATTGAAAGGCAGACCACAGAGCTTCCTTGCTCAATCAAAGTCCTTGAAGCTAAAAGTCTAACCTGTGATGGGGGAGAGGAAAGGTTTTGAATGAGATGTGCAGTTAGGGTCTAAACTGGACTAATTTCAATAAATTGGAAGTGACTAAAAGGTAAGAGGATCTGTCACAAATGTTTAAAAATCTGCTGCCTCATAGAACAAGAAGAGTGGACAGAGGGCGAATGAAAGCAGTGACTGGAGGAAATAAAATTGTATGTGTGTTTCCTGAGCGCTTTGCTCTCAGGACTGGAATCATAACCTCTACAACCTTAAAATGCAACATGTTTCTTTTGTCTCATAAATCTAATGAAAGAAGTTTTTTTCTTGGTTTTTCAAACCCACAATTATTTATTTGTGGAAGAAAATATAATAAAACATTATCTTGCTTGGCTCTCCTTATGTTATTCCCCTTCTACCATTTCAAGCAGGTGGCCAGACATTTCTGTGCCCCATGATAACGGGGTACCGAAGAAGTTACAGAGTCGAAAGGAAAAGTTGCCTGAAAGATACCTTGCCCAGCAAGCACCAAGATTGTACTTCCTAATACCATCCCCCAATAAATGAACCAGGGCCCCTTGAAGAAATGGCTGATTCTATACCTAGAACAGTAAACATACAAGATGAGTCTGGAGCATTGTTTAGTACCAGATAGTAAGAAAGTGTTAAACACACACACACACACACACACACACACACACACACACAATCAAGGGACAAGGGACCCAACTGACAGAGCTCCCAATGACCAAAACTGTAACAACTTAGACAAAAAATAAAGTAGTATTGAATGATAACCCAGGGTATAAAATGAATATCCATGAGCCCATACTGATATTAATTATTGAATAAATAAATAAATGGGGAGAAAGGACAAATTTCTTGTGCAAAAGAATTCCAAATAATTTGGGGGTGTTCTCCACCCCCAAGAAGGTGAAATGTAACTCTCCACTCATTAAGTGTGGGCTGCACACAGTGACATAGAAGACATCACAGAAAGAGGGGAACAGGGTAACTTATGATAAACAAACCAGATTAACACTGCCTCAGCCAGGTGCTCAAATTCAGTATCAACAGTGAGAAGTTGAGTGGATAGAGGGTTCCCTTGGTGTGATGAGAATGTCATGTATCCCCTGTGATCTTCCTCCCCAAAACCTATAACCCAAACCTAATCATAAGAAAAATATTAGACTGATCCCAACAGAGGGACAGTCTGCAATACCCCTGACCAGTATTCCTCAAGACTGTCAAGGTCATCAAAATAAAGAAAGTGGAAAATCTTTTATTGCCAAGAGAAGCCTAAGGAAACACAGTGACCACATGTCATGTGGTGCCCTGGATGAGATTCTGAAACAGAAATAGAACATTAGGTAAAACTAAAGAAACTAAATAAAGTATTGACTTTAGTTGATAATAACAATGGGCCAATATTGGTTGACCAATTGTGGCAAATATACTATATAGTAGACTGAAACATGGACATTTAATCACAAAGAAAGTATAATTTAATGGTGATAATCTCTAGAAAGAGATCTATACATTTATAAATTGTTTTGTACTGTCTTGGGAGTCAAAGAAAATGTTATATAACATGAGTTATTAACAGTGGCGGATGTCTGAGGTGGTACTCAGTGGTTTTGAGAAACACCTATTATGCTTAATAGGAATTTTATTATTAAAAATGTTTAAATAATTTGAAGCTTTCCTTCTGTAATTTCCCTACTATCTCTGAATTATTTTCTTGGAATTCAATAAATCATTCAGAATTTTTTATTCTACCCTCAGCTTTTAAACATTTGAAAAGCTGTTCAACCGCATTTATAATAAGAGATATATAAAATAGAATCAAAATAGCATTTTTATTACACCTACAAAAATCCAAAAGTACACTATGTTGGCAAAGTTGTAGGGAAACAGTCACTTTCATTTAATGCCAATGAGGATGTAAGTTGGTAAAACCCAAGTGGATGGGGAATTTGGGAATATCAAAATTACACGTGGTCATACCTTCGATCCAACAATTTCATTTCTACAAATGTATCTTACAGTTATACTCAAAAAGAGGCAAATTATATTAGTATAAGTTTATCCATTGCAGTATTGTGGATAATTGCAAAAGATTCTAAAGGTTTATAAATTAAAAGTCTAGTTAAGTAAAGTAAAATGCATCCCTACAGTGAAATACTACGTAGCTATATGTTTTTCGAGAATAAGCAAGCTCTGTATATGTTGATATAGGAAACTTTCAAAATATATTAAGTTAAAAAAAACAAAAATCCACAGCAGTGAATATATCATTTATATATAAAAGAAGGTAGAAATTGGCTTATAAATGCAGCTTTAAAAGTCCTTGGAAAGATAAACCAAACATTAATAACAACAATTACATAGTTGGAGATGCAGAATGGAAATGAAGAGTAGGAACCAGGCAAATAGGAGATAGGTGTAGGAGATTTTTGGCTGAATACCTTTTTATACATTTTGATGTTAGAAGTACATAAATATATTACCTATTCAAAAAATCAAGTAACTTTAAAACTTTCACCTTGTGAAAGTTCTACCTTGTCAGAAACGAAGATCTCTGTTTACAGCACATAATTCTTGCTCAGATAAGATAAGAGTCTAATGCACGTACCATAGAGTATACAAGTTGATTATTACATTTTTTATTTCCTTTAAATGATTCAGAACAGAAACAGCAGAATTAAAAGCATGGTATTTATGACTTTAGTACTTATAGCTTTTACTTGCAAACAGTCTAAAGCTAGTTTTAGAGACATAATTTGCAATACAGTTAGTCCTAATAACAATACCTTAAAAAGAATCTTTAGTTAAATGATGCACAAGTTAAATGATACCAGATAGAAATATAGACCGACACAGAAAAATTGGGTAAAGACCCACACAAGAGTATTGGAAATGGTAACTGCTTGGGTAAATATTTTTTCTATTGTTTAAATTTCCTTACAAGAAAATTAATTTACAATTTAAATAAAAACCATAAAAATGTAACTTAAAAATATATGACAAGCCATGTAAAAAGAACAGAATAATAGCACAAAAAGAGGAAGAAGTAGAAATGAAAGTAACTATTTGAAGTTTCTAAGACTCTCTATGAAATGGTAAAATATCACTTCAAGGTAGACTGTGATAAATTAAAGATGTTAACCATAAATCCTAAGACAACCATTAAATAACAAAGCAAAGAATTATAAATAATAAGTCAACAAAGGAAACAAAATGAAACCATAAAAATAATTATTAATTCAAAGAAGACAGAAAAAGAAGAAATAAAGAAGAGAGGAGACTAACAAAAACAAATAGCAAGATGACCAGTTCATACTTAACCTTATCAGTAATCATATTAATATGACAAGATCTAAACACATCAATTAAAAGGCAAAGATTGTTCGTTATGAATAAAAAGTTGAAACCCTACTATATAGGTTCTTTAAAAACACACTTCATATGCAAAGACACAAAAAGATTAAAAGTAAAAGAATGAAAAACTGTACCACGTTAACCCTAGCCAAAAGAAGCCTGGAGTGGCAACACTAACATCTGCCAAGCAGACTACAAAACAAAAAATTTTGCCAAAGACAAAAAAGTTATTTTGTAGTGATAAAGGTGTCAATTCATCAAGAGAACATAATAATCCTAAATGTTTATGCCCCTTATAACAAAACTTCAAAATATATAAGGCAAAAACTGATAGAACTGTAAGGAGAAATAAACAAATCCATAACAACAGCTGAAGCACTCAATGACCTCTCTCAATAACTGATAGAACAAAGAGAAAATCCATAAGACTATAGAAGACTCAGACATATCCACCAATTTGACCTAACTGACATTTACAGAAAAACACAAAATAGACATTCTCAAAAAATGTAAAGGGCTCAAGTCACACAAACTATATGCCCTGACTATAATGGAATTAAATTAGAAATTAAGAAAATGGGACAAGAAGTAATTGGGATTATTAAATGTTTGATCAAAAACATTACTCACTGCATTTTCAGACCAGATTTTAGGACCATAATCAGAACAAACACAAATTCAGCAGGAACTGACTCTCTCAAGTCAACTAATCTCGAGACCAGGACTGAGTCACGTGCTTAGTCACACACAGAAGGAGCTCTGGTTGCCACCACTCCCAAGGGAAGCAGCTCTTGCCATATACAGACAAAAAAAAAAAAAAAACTATTGCCCTCCTTAAAAAAAATCTCTTCCCACCACCCAAGGCCAGAACACATCCCACAAAAGCATTTTTGACTGCTGGTTCATAGTAAATTGCAACTGCCTGGGACAGCTTAGGGGACCCACAGGAGGGAAAATAAAGGGAAGAAAGACTTTTGTGAAGATTTTAGTTCCTACTTTTAATAAACAAAAGGGTCGACAAGTGACCACCTGGAGAGAGTGATCTAATAGTTATGTAATAAATCGAATATTTCCCCAATTAGTAGGCGTGAGTGGTTCTATTGTGGGAGCACCCCCTTTTGTCCCACTGTGCTCTGTTTGCACACCTTGGTTGGTGTTAAGAGAAGGAGATAGTAGAAGCCCTGGATTTCAGGTTGTGACCCATGTAAATGAACTGATAACCAAGAGAGGACCAAAAAAGTGATGTATGTATAACGGGAACGTGGGAGGAGGGGAGAGGGTATGTTATACCTTTGTGTGATATTTCCGAAAGTCCATTGATAATATCTAGAATTAACAAATCACAAAGTGAGGTAGGAGAATATCATTTGAGAATGCAGAAGTAACTACAAGAAACAATACAAAGAAAAGTGGGGGCTCTTGATGGACATTAGGTTGTTTCTATCTTTGGATTTCGTTTTGAATGATGTGGGGGCCTTTGGATGGTTTTGAGAAGAGGAGAGACATGAACTCTGATAAAAAAGAATCACTTTGGTATCATATGATTTTACTTGTATAGAATCTTAAAAAAACAAAATAAATGAACAAACACAAAAACAAACTCAAAGATACAAAGAACAAAGAGAGATTGCCAGATGAGAGGGAGAGTGGGGGGAACGGGTAAAAAAGATGAAAGGATTAAGAAGTACAAGTTGCCAGTTATAAAAGCAGTCACAGGAATGTAAAGTGCAGCATAGGGAATATAATCAATAATATCATAATAACTGTGGTGTCAGGTGGGTACTAAACTTATCACTTGGTAAAGTACATAAATATCTAATAACTATGCTCTAAACCTGAAAGTGATATAATATTGTATTCCAACTGTAATTGAAAAATTAAAAAACATTTTTTAAAAAAGAAGAATCACTTTGGTTTCTGTGTTGAGGTGCAAGGCAAGGGCCGAAGCAGGGAAAATCACTGACCTCAGGAAGAAAAGCTGTTGCACGCAGTCTTACAAATAGCCAAGGTTAGTTCGAGATACTCTCATCAGAACATCATTATCAGACATCATGTAAGTCCCACTACCAATATTGTCTAGTACTAAAGTTTATTACAGGTCCCTCCACGTGTAATACAATTGCATCATTTTAAAAGTATTCTGGAAATCAAGCTTTTCACTAGTTTGATTACATCTTTCTGCAATGATTTGGGGTGGAGAGGTTTTGCTGGGAAAAGAGTGAGGAAAGGGCTCCTTTCTCTCTCTGCTGGCAGTGCCGCATCCCTTCCTTCCTTCGTCACTCACACCTCAGAGAAGTTGCTGGAGGTGCGGTCACGGGGCCAGGAAGGAAGCTTGTGCTTCCCTCGGGCATAGCCTTGAGGTGCACAAAGCCTACAGTCTCTGTGAGTTTGTCACTGTCTGTCCTCTGCTGTTTTGCAGAGAGGTGAGAGGAAAGGAACAGGGAACCAGAAAAATGCCTTCTTACTGAGCAGACCATGGCGTGAGACAGAAATGACACAGAGACCATTTTCGTGGGACCCTGAGCCTCAGGTTCCTCATTTGGAGAGAACAGGGCCACCTCATAAACTGACTTGGGGATGAGTGAGACAATCCACATAAGGTGCCTTGTACAGTGTCTGGCACAGATTGAGGACTTAAAAGTATTTGTTATTATTGTGTTACGTGTTTGTTTATATGTATTTCAAATTTCAACTACTTCACCTTAGTGATGATTGTATTCTTTGGCTTAAGAATAATTGGATGATTAAATTAAACATATTACACAACTTTATGCAAGTATCAAGGCTCCAAATATTTTCTAGTGAGAAACTATTTTGTGGTGCTTCCTTAAATTGAGATGAATGCTTAAGACCTCCTTATAAATAACATGCCCAATGCCTAGGTTCTCAGGTCTTTTCTTTATTAATCCACTTTAGAAAGTGTTCCGTACTAACCTGCCTTTTCCTGAATTTCTCCCTACAGGGAATAGTGTTATGTTCAAACCAGCACAATGTCTTTATTTTAACACATATAAAAAAAATCAAACCAGGCACAGTACAGCATTGAAAACGATTTCAGTAACGGGCTGACCGAGCGTGGCCCTGTGCTTTGTGGGCTGGTGGGGAGGTTAATATATACCTCAGCAGTTTGCTTCAAAAGAAATGCCTTCACAACGTTAAAAAGCAGATTTCATTTTCCACTTGAAAAAGTCACAATTTCCGACTACTCTCTTAAAAAACAAACTCAGAAAACAAAGTTTGCTTGTTATAGTTCCTCATCACTATATGTACAGGAGAGGCTAATTATTTCTCCCCTTTTAATATTCCTGGGAAGATTTCCATTTTGAGGTATACATTAACATATTTCAGGGGCTCCTCCTGTTTTATTTACTTGTCTTTAAACCAATGTTTACTTTTTTATTTATAAAATTAATACATCTTCAGTGTAGGAAAATGTAATGATGAAAAGAAAATTGCTTGTAATTCTTTCATCTGCAGATAGCATTTTGTGTTTTACTTTTAGCCTTTTTAAAAATACATTCTTTTATGGTTACATAGTTGAAGTTAAACAATACATACAATTTCAAACCTGCTTTGTTCCCTTAATATTATAGCATAAGCATTTTCATATGTTACTAAAAATTCATTTTTAAGGGTGCCAAATAATCCAACACATGAATGCATCATAGTTTACTCAGCTCGTCCCCTACTGTGATGGTTGAGTCTCAAATTTTTGCTAAAATAAATAATGCAGAGGTAAACATTTTTGTTCATAAAGCTTTTGTCAGGTTATTTCTTCAAGACTGTCTCTGAAAGAAGAATTAATGTCAAAATGTGCAAAAACTAGGATCATGATAAATACAAAGTTCTTCCCAGAAAGACTGAACCAGTTTGCCTTTGGGGGGACTTCAGAGCATGGTGGGCTGGCCAGCACTTTTTTAATAGAAAAAAATCTTTTTAGAGGGATTTAAAAAATGCTACTCACATCCTGTTTTGAGAAAACAAAGTAGAGTAACATCAAAAGTTAGTAATAACCTAGAAAAACTCTAAGTACCCATAAAAAGAAAATTGTTGTCCTGGGTATACAGAAATAATTCATAAAAGATGCATACCATATAATAATGATATTTGAAAAATATCTTTCATGTCTGTGCATCTGTCAGATCAGAAGTTCATTGATAGATAGGAACTGAAATTTTTCCAAACTCAAAGATTTAAGACCGGACATTGGAAAAACTTAGTAGCAGTGTGTAATTAAGTTTCAGAAACATGATTGGAACTACTTGATCATTAAAAAGAGAGATTCTGGGGCAGGGGGATAATAAATAACTCATTTTTAAAAAATGAATGAATTGTAAGACTGCCGGCCAAGATGGAGGTATAGGTGGATGCACCGTACCTCCACGTGCAATCAAGATTGGAACAACAATTTAGAGGCAGCATAACACCCAGAACTGACAGAAAATTTATCTGAATGGAAGTCTGACAGCCAAGAAATTGAAATAGGCCAGTTCATCCAGACCAGTAGGAGGGGCGGAGACGAGCAGCCGGGTACAGGTCACGGCATGGAGAACAGGAAGAATTGGGTGCATAAGGCAACCGGGAGCCTGTAAGGCATCTGGGGCCCACAAGATCGCAGCGGGTGGACCCTGAGTACGCAAGCAGCAGCTGGCAGACCCAGTGAGGTGGCGACTGTGGAGCAGGACAGAGTGCGCAACCCAGGATCTCAGGGAAGGGACTGAGGTCCCACAGAGAATGGAGCAACCGCCATTGTTCCCTCTCGACCCCGCCCTCACATACAATGTCACAATCTAGTGACTGGGGTGCCCAGCCCTGGAGAACACCTAAGGCTCCACCCCTCACCGTAAAAGGAATGACCAGACCAAAAAAAAAAAAAAGAGAAAGAGCGAGATGGCTCAAACAGAAGAACAAATCAGTGCCCCAGAACTCATCCTTTTGAGCAACCAAGAGATAGCTAACCTATCAGATGCACAGTTCAAAACACTGGTGATCAGGAAGCTCACATAATTGGTTGATTTTGGTCGCAAATTAGATGAACAAATGCAGGTTACCATAAAAGAAATGAAGGAAAATGCACAGGGAACCAATAGTGATGGGAAGGAAACTGAGACTCAAAACAATAGAGTGGACCAGAAGGAAGAAAGAAACAACCAAACAGGAAAGAATGGAGAAATAAGAATTCAAAAAAACGAGAAGAAGCTTAGGAACCTCCAGGACATCTTTAAACATTCCAACATCCAAATTATAGGGATACCAGAAGGGGAAGAGGTAGAGCAACAGGTTGAAAACATATTTGAAGAAATAATAAAGGAGAACTTCCCCATTCTGGCAAAGGAAATAGACTTCCAGGAAGTCCAGGAAGCTCAGAGAGTCCCAAAGAAGTTAGACCTAAGGAGGAACACACCAAGGCACATCATCATTACATTACCCAAGACTAAAATGAAGGAGAGAATCCTAGAAGCAGCAAGAGATAAGGAGACAGTAACCTACAAAGGCATTTCCATCAGACTGTCAGCTGATTTCTCAAAAGAGACCTTGCAGGCAAGAAGGGGCTGGAAAGAAGTATTCCAAGTCAGGAAAGGCAAGGACCTACCTCCAAGATTACTCTATCCAGCAAAGCTTTCATTTAGAATGGAAGGGCAGATAAAGTGCTTCTCAGATAAGGTCAAGTTCAAGGAATTCATCATCACCAAGCCCTTATTTTATGAAATGTT